CAGCTTCCCATAGCTTAGAGCCTCTACAGCTTCCCATAACTTAGGGTCTCTACAGCTTCCCATAACTTAGGGCCTCTCCATGTCTAAATCAGGCTCTGTTCATAAGTACTAATTCTATGTGTGGGTGTGTGTGTGCGCGCGCCCCCCTGCAAACCTACCAAAGCTCTAACGTTAACAAGGCCGATGATAATAGTTTCCCCGTCGTGCGTGCATGCTCACTTGTATGGCGTTGTTGCCCTGCGGGCACTGCAGCTTCAGACTACGTCACAACGGGGCACGGCAGCCAGCAGCGGTCGTCGGAGGACGAGGTTGGAGGCCAGTCGCCACAGGCAAAGTGCCTGCTGCCCGGCCAGAGACGTAACCCCTCGCACTCGTCCCCGCTGCAGCGAGCCGGCCGCTTCTGAGAGGTCGTCGTTGACGATCGTCACAAGGGAAGAGGCAATTGCTGATATTATGGCCTAAGATTAAACGGTGACGTGTAGGCGGTTTTTGATTGGTCAACCGGTCAGATGCGCGTCAAAGGGTCTCTGCTTGCTGATAAGATATTATTTTATAATTGGCTTCGATGAATTGTTAGTGACAGTTTTGAGATGCGTTCTGCTTTTGGAAGATCGCTTTATGTATTGTTGCTTAAGACATCCAACTACTTTGCAGAATTGTGGTCTAGAAAATGGTGGTTGTATGCATTTGAAAGCAATTTCAAATTAAGACCAGTGCATTTTAGTTTAATACGTTAAACGTTTCATTGTTATTCACACGTTAATCAGCGGGCAAAATTGTTATTTGTTATTTAAGGTCCCGATAATTGTTTTTTTAAAACAGCATCAAGTTTTTATCTTCATTGTGGGCATTGCACGATAGTCGTCCAGCCAAATGCCCATACCTGTCTATGGTGTTGTTAGTTAGGAATCGATTGCTCCAGTAAATGCTTCATTATACTGTTGTAATTGTTCCAAACACGCATTTGTGAAAACTGGTTGCACTAATTTGTGACGCAGTTAGGTGAGAAAGTATTGACATATCAATCATAATATGCTTGGTTAAATGGTTTTTACGTGCCTCTGTATACAGTTTAAATATGGCTTTTTGTCAGACCCTTTGATCAGAATTACGATTGATTCATTTAAATACTCATTAAAGAGTAAATCTGGGAAAATGTAGTTACGTCGTTAAACGATGTTAAGGCCATTAAAGTCAGCTGATGAAGAAATGCTTGGTTTATAGCAGCTATACTTTTATAAGGATTGGAAGTATCGGAAGGATTGGAATATTTTTGGTGTTCATAACCTTTGCAATTAACTCGTGTACGTTATGTAGGCAGAATTACATGCAATGCCAGGCTATCCTGCAGGTCCTGAAGCTGTATCTTATATGGCATGCAGAGTACAGATCTCTAATGTAGAACGAACGATCAGAAGGGTGGTGTATATTTAGCGAAGGATATATATTACGTCATAACTAAGAGTAAATAAATAAATATATATATGGTCATGTATGCATATGTGCCAACGGATACATGTTTCATCACCCATGTATGGTAGTATATATTATATCAGTGATATATTCTTATCAGGAGTGAATAATAGATCTATAATTATTCACTCCTGTTATTATGTTCTCCAGATGTTATGACATACATGTTGATCATCCATGATGCGCGTGCATAATATCAGGGCTGAATAAAAAACAAATTGGTTTCATTTTCTCGTGATAATATCAGGATATGATAATAAAATCCGATTTAGGATCAGACGTTCGGCTGGAAAATCGACTTGAACGTGCAAGAAAACACTAAAGTTAATTAGAAGTATTTTTTGTTGAGGTAACCGACATTTCCTGTTTTCTTTCAGACAAGCAGTGTGCGAAACCTCGTGTGTTTCTGCTTGACTGTGCTTTAATAATTCCAATCGACTCACAACGCCGTATTTTTCCTGTCTCGCTTTCTCTCAATGTGTTGCGTTGACTGACACGCTGTTTACGAATGTTTTATAGTATGCTTCGCGTGCTTCTCCGTGCACTGGCCTAACTCTTACTAATTCCTGGATCTGCCGATAAGTGCACAGGTGGCTGATATATGCAAGTCTCTCGCGTAGCTATAAATTCGTTACCAACCGGAATCGTTGGGAGGTCTGGGTTCTTTTCCTATAAACGTTTACAACACCACCGCATAACAAAAACGGTGCATAGCTGTAATTTACTTGCAATGTAACTAATTTGCTAAAAAAGATTCTAATTCGTCTTCAGAAGTGAACATATAGTCTATACCAATAAACGTTGGCAGTTTCTATGAATGCCCTGCTATACTAGTAATGGCTGTATTGGTTGTGGCCATTCAACAAGTTAGTTACCTGCGCGGATTTCATATATTATATCAGGAGTCTAGTATCAGTACTAGTATATTCATAATTCATATATTACATATAATCATATGTCTATACAATATTGATAGACTCCTGATTATATATCAGCTCTCACGACGCTGTCGCACAGTGATTGGCAACAGTGATTGTCTAAACGCGTGTGTGCACGCGTATATCGGGAGTGTCATAATATATCTATATTATGAATCGGGAGTGTCATAATATATCTATATTATCAAGCTCTTGATATTATGACACTCCTTACCATATAGCGGTGTACGCATCAGTCACTTAGCTTACTTATACATTTATGTTTGTGATTCGAAGATGAGGAAAGAGGGTCGCAGTACTTATTGCGCAGGCTGTGTGGTATGATCGGGTGCACGTAATTATAATAGGCAGAGCCGCGAGAAAAAATTATCAGTGCTGCAAGCATTACAAAGATATGCTATCATACACACATAGATATCAAAGGTTAATAATGACAAATTTGTCATTATAACCCCTGATAGATATTATAGATATAATTATAAAGATGGATATATATATAGAGAGAGAGAGAGATAGAATAGATAGATACATGCATATATTTGTACGTATGTATATCATACACGAAGTAACTTTATTCGCGTTTGCCAAATACTAGCATCGTAACATACGCGTCAACTGCAGAGGGTCGTGTACAATAATATATAATAGCATGAACACATGTACACTAGAAAGGGAGAAAAAGTATACACATGTTCATGATAACAGCCGGGTCGCCCTCGACGCTTATATGCCGTACCTAAAATTAATAGCGATAACAACACCGTTTCTGCTGTTCAAACACAATATTACTGTACAACACTATAATACGACCCTGCTCACTCACTCATCGCGTTCGACCCCATGCCTAGTAAGACTAAATAGGATATCTTGCCTCACTTAAAAAATTGCCGGAGAGAAAGCATCAACATGCGCGCGCGTCAATGGTTAACTCTAATAAAGCTTTTAGACTGCCAAAAAACGCATTCAATGTGTATTATGTACATTCCGTATATATGCACACGCTATTATATATAAATCGTGCCACACGTACGATGGGTTTATACATGAAAACCGAAGCGCGGCGTTCAGACGGAAACATGAACGAACGACAAAAAAGTGGTCTATAAACCCTTCACATACTCTGATTCGACTGAATTGATAATCGGGAAGAAATCTGATATCGGATATGGTGTAATCCTGATATAATGCACGCGCACAACCGGTTACCGTGTCGTGTCATGTACTGCCGTTACTTCTTGCGACATACCGCGCCACAACGCACGAACAGACAGCTAACCACCCTCGCTTTCCTACTAACGCAAGCTAGATATATATGGGGAGGGGAGGAAAGGAGGGAGATTAGTGACAGTTGACAGGCAGCCAGCCGTTACTGATTACAAATTAGTCTATATTTAGAAGCCACGTTATAGCACTGGTGGCAGTTGCCTGAATACTGTAACGTTCTACATTTAGAAGCCACGTTATAGCACTGGTGGCAGTGGTCTGAATACTGTAACCTTACATATCTATTAGAACGAGAGGCATATAGGAAAGAATAAGATGGCGATAACAGAAATACACCCGCCCCGGATATAAGTTGTAAAGCGAGATATTCTGATGGTATTTACTACCGAACCACGAAAACCGAGAATTCGATGCATCGGCTTCATCGACGCACTTTTCCTACTCCGAACTCGCATATAATACGGTAAACTTCTTGGGAACACCCACGTTATTTTGAACGCTCTCCCGATCTACAAATGAGAAGCAGGTATACTGGCTCGAACGTACATTCAATACCGCATACACGCAAGATATTACTCAGAAAACGTAACCCCGCCAACATAGATATTCTTACGTGTGGTAAGTGCGTGTTTAAAAAATATACTAATCATTTACCGTAAGTAGTACGTCTTGCACAATGAGAATAACGAGGAAAATTGATGCTCTTTGTTGGGTAATTACCACTACTATGAATATAATATATGCATTTCACCCATTCACGACATAACAATCTTATATGATATAGAGGATAACACACACACACACACACACACACACACACACACACACACACACACACACACACACACACACAAGTGCCCAAACACATGCACGCACGCGCGCACGCACATGCAAACTTGTAAAAATGAAATGTAAACAAACAGCCAAATTTTCCAATGTTTACTTTTCAAACAAAACCGATCAAATTATTAAAACGAGTTTCTACATGTCAGTTCAATTCAAATCAATACTGCCACGTTTACTCCTTCCTAATAATGCAAGGACGTTCCATCACAATTCCGTTTCATTCCTCATCGACAACCGGGGACTACGACCTTCCGGGGACACCCCGACCTTCCCTAATATGGGCCGCTACTCCCGCTTCACGCACAAGCATCCTAACGGCCCACCACCACTACCGGTGAGAATCTACCGTGAGCAAGTCGAACGACCGGAGAAGGACAGCAACGGCACGCCGCAAGCACGACTTCCACCATGTGATGACGTTGCGAGGGAACAACGCTAGCACGACCCCGGCGAGTCTTGCGCCGGCCCGCGGGACGGGGAGCGCGTTTTATTTTGGGAAGAAATTTCTCTCGTTAAATGTCACGTCTTGCTTTGAGAGGAGAAAGAGAAGGCGTAGCATCTATGTCGTTACATCTTGCCAGCACACCGGCGAGACTGGCTTCGAATACGGTTGGAAAGCGGGTCCAACCGTTCGATTGACGTTGACCAACACGCTGCTTCACACATAACACGACTCGCGCGTACATCATAATTACTCTTGGAAGTTGTGCAATAAAATATATAGGTTGTAACACAAATTGAAATAATTCACAATACTAAAATATTACATTAAGACTTACACTCACCCCCCCCTCCCCCAGTGGTTGACCTCCGACCACAACTTTCACACCAATAGTTGCGAGCCCAGAATGTGCCATAGTTGTTGGGCACAATCTTAAGACTGGAAAAGCTTGCATTATTGTTAATTGTCTAGACCCAGTCTCACTGATGCTCATTCAATATTCATCACCACCTCATAGGGACTATAACCTAAAATGTATAAATGAGATTTTTTATACAAAATGGACCCACCTGCCCCAAACGGGGAAACAGCCAATGATAAAGCCTGACACGGTAAACTCTCCCTTTTAGCTGCTGATTGACATCACAAAATACAATATATGAACTAAGCAGTGTCTAACATGCCTACGTTTTGCTCATTTTTAAGTGTTAAATGTGATAAACATTCGACTGTGGTTATATGCTTTATTACAACATACACATGCACTCACTCATACTTGCAATTATGCTTACTCTTTTACACGCTCATTCACACATTATACACGCACTTGGACTCATACGACACACGCACACACATTTGTATGCACATGAACGCCAACACAGATTATATATCTATATATCTATAACTCTATGTATAGATATATAGATACAAAGATAATATACAACTAAGATATATCTATATATATATTTATATATATATAAATATATGTACGATGTATCGTATGTATATGTATATATATATATATACATATACATATACATACATACATACATACAGACAAAAGCAATGTGAATTTCTGTAGTTCTACCACCAACACGTAACAGTAGGTATGCACAGTTTCCTCTTAGGTACACTTGGTCGCTCCAGTTCTGTACATCCGAGATCTTGACTAATTCTTTTTATCAACGACCTACAAGGAAAAATAACAGAATAATAACACTGTGAAATCAGTAAGTTTTTTTTGGTGAGTACCTCACTATAGTCGCCTTTCTATTCTTGGGTAACAAACCACACTTCAAGTGCAAAGGTTATGGCTTTCGATAATATATACTCATGGTGTCATAACTATTTACACGGTTTCAGACAATGGATCCTAGACTAACACCAAGGAAATCACCGGGTGTTCACTTCCGTGCCACACATTTCCTCCTCACTCACCAATCTGGCTTCTATCTGCTGAATGCTTGTAGATAGATATGCTTGAACCCTACTATATACTGCCATAGAGTATGCACCAAATACATTACCACCGCGTCGAACCTTTAACGAACACAGTAATAATGCTACGTTATGTGATCGAGAAGGCTTCATCGTTAACAATGATCATGTGAACAATGAGAAATTGCACGACTGACGAAACCCTCCTTCTCCGCCCACGCTCATTAAAACCTTCGCGAACGTACCTGTCGGGTTTGGCAATGCGCTGGTGCTTGGGCCCGTCGCTGCGGCGGCAGCGGCCTTCTGCTTCAGCATGGTCCAGTCGAACGTGTAGTCGTACTGGTGGTTCAATGTACGGAACAGGATCCTGAACAGCTGCCGCAAGTACATGTAGTCCGGCGCCTCCTCGAAGCGCAGGCCGCGACAGTAGTTGAGATACATGGAGAACTCGGCCGGGAAACCCTGCGGGAGTGTGAGAAAAAAAACATGAAAATGTCGTAGCGGGAAAACGCGACGATGCTAGTTGAGATAAAAGCAGCAATGCCGTAGGAGAAAACGTACTGCAGCACTAGTGTATATATATATAGAAATACAAAATGATGTAAAAGAAAACGCCACGATACTACATGTCGAGATGTGTGGAGAATACGTCTGTGAAACCCCACAGGCGAACAAACTATGCTGCAAGAGAAAATGCTGTGACACTCATCACAATACACGGAAAGACCGGCTGGGTAAGCCTGCAAGCAAAATCATGTCAACGTCATACAGGAAGACATTTATTAGATGGGAGGTCACTGCAACGGTGTGTGGCAGAATTCCTTCGGTTTCAAGCAGACCCACTCGCTAATATTCGCGCCTTGGGAACGCTTTAGCGAAGAGCTACTGCTTGCATTCATAGCATCATATACTGTCAACTCTCCCAACACCCGACCACACACAGGACTGTGCATTTAGTTTGGTTTTCTGTGCAGTTCTGTTTACAGGGTGGCATTTAACATGTCACAGAATGGGACTCGAAGAATCATCCGGCTTGACATGAGATCCGGTTTTCAGGGTGTTCAGAATTTGGAGATTTGACTGTATCATCATACAGATGCCTGTTTCCAAAAACATCACAAGTAGTAACGACGTCGCAAGACGACCTTCTAGACTTATGATATATAGTCATAACTCTTTATTTTACTGACAACGGGGGACCGTGGTAGCAGGTACTCACCTTACAGAGTACCTCCACGGGCGTCGACATCTTCTTTTCGCTAATCTTCTCATACTTCTGCTTCTTAGTTGCTGCCTGCATGAGGAATTGCGAGCAAAATACGTTTTTCATTTCTATTGAAAATTGAAATCCAAGTGCAAAGATAGAAACACTGTAAATGCTTAGAAAGCCCAAAGCTTCTGCAATCTCCATGATTGATGACTTCTTTATAACATAATTAGAATTCATATTTACATACACGAAAAAATACATCACTTACAACTAATAATAGTAGGTATAATTTTTATAAATTAAACATAACCAGTTGAATCAAAATTGTGGAGTGCAAGTACAAAATGTTATTGTCTATAAACAGGAAAAGAGAGCCTCGCCTTTAAACCCTGCCAGGGCAAACTTGTCCTGTTGAAATACATCAGCACATAGCCGAGTGACTCCATGTCGTCTCGTCGACTGAAAGACGCAAAGAGCAAGTATGACTAAAAACGACAATATGAATGCCACAGATCTCACAGTGTACCACATGTGTACACATCAACTATTGACATTGTTGCCGGAAAGGCATAACTTTCTGTACACCAATATTTTTCCAGAAGCTATGACTCATGTGAGGTGATTGCTAACCGCTTTTAAAATGTTTTTGCAAGCTGCATCATAATCTAAATGAAACGCTTCAATTTCTGGCAGTGTTCGCCATAATTAAACAGGAAGGCACGAAATCAAATGCACGTATTACGATCGCTATTCGGTTTTTAACGGCTATAAATCGTGATGAAAATATGCCTGAGACCATCCTAAATAGATCTCTATTTACAGTAGCCCGAGAAAACCTTTCAAGTGCAACTAGGTACGTAAATGCAAAATCCATTCAAGAAGGGGTCAGAGAATCAACCGCTACCTCGCATTTGGAATAGGCCTATGCTAAACTATCTAGACGTAAATCAGAACTCGACACACACCTTTGCTCAATACCGAGATGGGCATTTATGCTGGCATAGCGGGCAGTCCCTGTAAGGTTCTTATCTTCTCGGTAGGGGATGTGCTGTCGTGTCCTGTTGTCTCTGTACTTTTTTGCCAACCCAAAGTCGATCAAAAATAACTGAAACCACCAGAAAAAAACGTTACAGTGAATAAGGCACACAGGTGCATGCATCGTTTGTCATACTATGTCACTGTCTGGCACACTACACTGAAATGTAACCTATGTCACCAATACAACAGATAATATTATAAGCACTGGCACTCCTCACACAAGACACAGAATATTTTTCAAATCAGGTTTTTGGTTATTTCTCCTTGATATCTAACACTGAACAAGTGGTAAATAGTTGATCATCCTTGTTAATTCTTTTGTTATACTTGAATTAATCATTTATCAAAGTATTTGATTTTGGATCGACATGATAAACACACAACTGTATATCTCACAACAGAACATACACACCTTATTGCAGTGACGACCAATACCCATCAGGAAGTTGTCTGGCTTGATGTCACGGTGTATGAAATTTTTGTTGTGCACATACTCAATACGCCCAATCATCTAAAATGTCAAAATACAAATTAAATGCAAAAACAAAAATACAAAAATCTGGCTACTTTACAGATTCTGTCAGGGAGCACTTTAGAGGAGAGAAATCAAAACTCAAGATGTAATCTATAACAAGATGGTGCAAGGGCACATGACCTTTACTTTGTTGCTTCGCATATACTGGAAACTACTTAACCCATAGTGTGTACAATCCCCTATCCAATAGGTGTTAAAGTAATTATTGCGAAAGTTTTCCAGTGTTTTCCCAACTTTCATGATACTTACCATTATTGCTTGAGTAACAGCAATTGTCTAGAGTAACGATAAAATGCCTTAGAACCTTCGTAAACACCAAATCCAATGAAATCATGCACGATTACAATTTTGCGTTCTGTTTCTGTTTACCGTTGCCATCTCTCGGACTTTCTCGCGGTATCGCGAGACATCTATCACGGTGCAGTAATGCATAGCGTCGCACCGTAGAAATCAGGTCAGAGTGTAAACACAGGGGTTCATACTAGCGTAACAGCAGTGTAGTACTAATACCGCGTAAAGTCTGTTATTAGAGAAGCTTGTGGATTACCAGTCAGATAATATCACGGGAATGACAATGACAGAAAGTACTCTGAATTATTGACATAAAAAGTCAATAACATTTACCACACAGAATTGCACAGCCTTTTGTTTTAATTATGGACTTGGTTTGAAGGCGCCATTTGTATTTTGGATTGTTGGCATACGATAATATCCGGAGCTGGTATGATGTGGTCAAATCCATTTTTCTATGTTGCTATAATCAGTGATATTTCCACTGTCAGGTGAGCCTATCTAGATATTCAGCTATATTTAGTTTTTCTGAGTCAAAAAACTCGCAATAAGCGTTATAATTAAGCACCACTAATAACACTCATCACGGAAAGGTTGGCAATGGCAATGGAACAGTTTGTCAGGTAACTACAATGTCTCGCGTCCACTCTGTCCAAGTGAATGTGACAGTTTGACGCTGGGCAGACCCTCACTCACCTGATCGGCAAGCATTAGCACCGTCTTCATCGTGAAACGCCTCGAGCAGAAGTTAAAGAGATCTTCCAAGCTCGGTCCTAGCAGGTCCATTACAAGTACGTTATAGTCACGCTCTTGGCCATACCATCTACAAGCGCAAGGGAAGCAAACAACCTTGATGAAACACTGGGTGCTGGGTTTGACAAAGACAAATACTAAAACAACCCTGATATAGAATGTATTACGAAATGTACTAAAGCAAATGTTGAACAGATGACACAGAGCATAATAAAAAAACAGGTGATAAAGACTGTATTAAATCAAACAAAAGATTATCTGGAAAACAGCATCAGTAACAAATGAGTCACGTACTACAGCGTCCAACAACAACACAGATCTATAACTGATGACAACAAATATATGAAATGTTTTTGTTAGAGGTAACTAAATACCTATGAAAAGCTATACTATCAATTCAGCAAATGTTAAACATATTAAACTGATCTACAAGACTCTAACCACTAAACCACTATTGAAATACTGGGTTCAGTTACTACAAAGAAAAAACATTTAAAAGTGACCCAAATACCTAAACACTCAGGATATCTACATTTTCCACACGTGTATGGATCTGTATACCAGGTCTTAAATTTCACCACAGCACAGGGAGCAATTGCTGTGGTTGGCTTAGATGGAGTGAATCAACAAATAGGGAATATTGGTGCTAATTGACATAGCTGCCCTACCTGGTTGGTCTTCATGCCCTTCCCATTATAAAAAAAATTTTTGTACATATCCCTACCTGTTTCACATAAAAAGCATTGATAGAAAGCAATAGGCTTTGACATCTCTCCTTTATAGGGAATGTATGTGTTGAAGCCACTCTATCTTACTAAGGCACCCCTTCAAATTCTGATTAAACACATAGTAACACTTGCCTCACCATACAAAGTAAAAATCACGTGACATGAAAGTGATGAAACTGTTACATACACACTGTTACACCTATTCACACATACCGTATATGAGGTATGCCGACTCCTCCCATCAAAATTTTGTACACTTTACTTTCATATAGCAGCTGAGGGTGTCTAGCTTTCTGTGACTCAAGCTTCACGGCAACCTCCTGTAGATTGTAGAAGAGAGCAACATTAGTAACATCCCAAACAAGTTTGTTCGAAGTTCCCCAAAACCCATAATTTTACATACATATGCTGATAACTCTAACCAGATGTTGAGGGGCACGTGCCTGACGGTAGGCTTGATATTATTGAACAGTACTTGATTCCGGGAACCATAATTGCGATACATAAAGATTCAGAAATAAATGCACGTTCCTTAAGTTGCTTATCTCGGAGATTCTGAACAGGAACCAGTGTAGCTAAGATCAAGGCACTGGCACGATGCTGTAGAACTGATTTTGTAGAACAAAACCATATATGCCTGCATGCAGGGTTGCACACGCACGCACGCACGCATGCAGACATACAGACACTAAAAAATTTCATTTTCTTCCTTATGACTCAATCGCTACAAAACACTGTAGGTACAATCCGATGCTAGCAATAGTATAAATGACTATTGCAGAATTGCAAGCCAACCTATATTGTATTATCTTAACCAAACATTGTTACCCTATAATCCATAACTGTTTATTATGGGGTTTCCAATGTTCGTTATATATGTTAAAATGATAGAATGGGTAATCCAAAAAGATGAGGGTGGGAAACGGTGAGTAAGAAGAATTGGGTGAGTCTAATCACTGTACAACAAAACTGGTTTGAATTGCAAATCAGATGGTTAACTAATACCATATCAAGCTAATGATAGGGTAGCTTTAAAAAAAAACTTTCACTTCTGACACGGCTATGAGACAATGGTTTCATGTCAGACATTAGGCGCCCCCTATAATAGTCTCCAACGTCATGATCATTCGACTACGACACATGTTACACAGCAGTGGAGATGGTTGAAAAGGGAAGTCCAGTTGAAATTGTTGCCAACATTTTATTACATTTCTCATTCTCAATTTTCTTGCACGGTATACGATGATTAAGTCGTACATCTTCAGTAGGGTCACATTCCAAGGCCAATCTAGCTATGCCTACAGCCCTGGGGCCCGTTGTCAGAAACATCGTACAGTTAATGCTAATGTTAATGCT